TAACTGATCTGCAGGATGCTGTTTCAGCTTTAGGTGCCATTGAAGGGTTTGCAATTCTTTTTCTTTAAAAATGGAAAAGGATAGTAAAGGAGTGTTTCTTCCACAAGTCCTGCTTCAGGACTTGTGTCCCACTCCTTGTCTGAGAGGCTGTAACTAAATCTCATGGTAACTGATCTGATGTTGTAAAATGATTAATTTAAATGCCCTTTCCTTAAGGCTTGCTAATGGGCACAGCACATACAATGCAGTAGTTCAGGTGAATTTAAGGACTGGCGTTTTGAGGGAACTGCTAATTTATGCCCTGATCCTGCAGCGCGTTAACGTGGTTCTAGGATTTTGTACTACACAGTATATAAGACTTGCAAGACACCTCTTTGCCGCATTCTGTTTAATTAGCCTGAAATAAGGTTCTAAACCTTATGTGGTGACTGTATTTGACTTCAATTCATCTGATATATACCCAGTCCCCCAGAACAAGCCAAAAATAACCTTTCTTTTACTTTAGTATCCCTTCATGTTAGTCTGTTGCATAGTTAGAAATTATTCAATTGTGCACAGAGGCCAATGTTTAAAAAATTGGGGAGGGGGTGGAATTAGGAGATAAGACAAATTAAGAGAAATAAATGATGAAAGAGGAGACGTGAAACTGATCAGTCCCTTTTCATAAGCCATTGTACACTTACTGCCATGGTAATCAATAGGAGTGGATGACATGTTTTAGTGGTCTTACTAAAAAAAGGAGCAAGACTGTGAGCAGTATTATTTTTATTCTATTTTCAGCAGGTAGCTACTAGCTAGTGTTCTATTTTCTGCTCGTAGGGCTGCTTTAAAATGTCAGGAATAGAGTTGTTGAAAAAAGGCTAACAAAACACACGTACGTTGTTAGGGGAGGAAGGACAACACCTCACTTCCAAGAAATTTCATTTGGCTGTCACAAAACAGGACATTGGCACCAGAGGGAGCTGTATTCCTGTATCCCTTTCTACTGAAGGGTTAATTGTGAATAGAGCCCTTTGAGGCAAGAAGACACTTTTGAAGAGTAATAAGGTGACTGATGTGTTCCTCAATTAAAAATAAATAATGTATACTTTTATTTAAATGAAAAAAACTTACGTTGTGTTAACAAAAATAAATGCTAGTATGATGGACTGAGAAGAACAAGCTAGTCATATTGGAAGGACTCTGACTTGCCTTTTGAAAATGACAAATTTTGGTATATTTCTGGTCAATTAAGCAAGTTTTGCATATACAGTAAAATAAACTTTTCACAGATGTTAAAATAATTCATTTGGGGAAGTCTGTATTGTCATTTAATTTGGTAGGCAGACAAGATCACTGGTCTTCCTGATCTGGTATTACGTATCCAGCTGCGGCCAAGATCCTAAGGCGTTATTATTTTAATTGCCATAGTCATCTGTCATTCTCTTTATTGTGCTGCATGAAACAAGAGTAGAGTTTTTCATCACGCAGTCCCATAATGATGCAAATTTTCTGAAGTGTTAATAACACTATGGAATATTCATTCTATATAATGGAATTAATTTTGATTCCTTACTCTTTGAACATATTACCTATAAATTAAGTGGAATGAGAACAGCTTTGCCTACTAATGTATTCTTTTCTCATAAGATTTTTTCATCTATTTGAGTCTTTGTGACGCTTTGTTCCGTGTTGCCACCAGTCTTTGTAATCCATTCAAAACTGAGGATATGTTCACATGGAATACACACCGGAAGTGGCAACATAAACAACTACTGGATTATAAATGTTGTGTACCTGTATACATTCACACCTAGTATTCTTCTGAACTGAAGTTGTACATCTCACTAAAAGCAAACATTTTGCTTTGCTTAAAAAAGCGTTTAGTTACATACACTTCAAGCTAAATAAAGAGACTGCCAACAGGCATGTAGGTAGAGACATTAGGGTTGGCATACCACTTCAAACGCGACAGGTTGTTTTTAATGCATTTCCCATTTGAGGATTAGTGTTCATAAGCACAGGCAAATTATTCCTTGCAATATGTTTGTGGCTGTATACAACATAATGAAAAGATTTTTGAGACAAATTATTTGCAAATGTAGCTCATTAATTAGGTAGATGAATTGTAAGCCTGATAAAATGATCTAGATAAAACAAACTGTAGCCTTAAAATACACCTATAAAAGGGAAGTTGTTGGATTTTAGAGCCCTGCAATTTACTTTTTATTCTATACATGAAAATTTACACTCCATTTTAATTTGCATGTCTCTGAGTATTATGTGAGTTGTCTAATTAAAATGAATATATCTGAATATATTATCTGAAATACATTAGATTTGTAGTAAGTATATATTAAAAGTTTAGTAATCTTGCTCTTAGTTGATCACATTTTTAATTAATTTCTCATGCTTCAGATACAGGTTGCAGAACATAAACTTTTTCAGAGTTTCAAGACATATATCTAGAAATATATCTTCTCCCCCTGTACTCGGCACTGGTGAGGCCGCACCTCGAGTACTGTGTTCAGGTGTTTAAGAGACGGGTGGATGAGGTGCTGAGAGATATGGTTTAGTGGTAGACAGATACGGTTGGACTGGATGATCTCTGAGGTCTTTTCCAACCTAGTGATTCTATGATTCTAAAGTCTTGTGTTAGGTGAGTTGCCAGCTAAGTAGCCTTTACCAGCTTTCCATCTCTGTTTTACTATGGACTGGTACATAAAGGTTCTAAGAATTGCCTGCGCCTTTGATCTGCCTCTCACCGTGGCTAATAGCAGATGCTCCAAGAATAAGAGCAAGGGTATGGTACTCCTACTAATGTCCCAGCCTCCAACTTTTTCCCAAGAATAAGAGCAAGGGTATGGTACCATGCAGGGGCATGGTACAAGCATGGAAAGCCTCTTCAACCAGCTAGGGTTTCTTTGCACTTACTAATGCTCAGTGTGTTTCTTTTCCATGACTTAGTATCATTGGCAAACTTTAATCTCATTTTTTCCAAGTCATTTTTGGAGATCTTGAATAGCATAGGTCTCGGTACAGAAACCTGTGAAAACTCACCTTTCTTGACTGTGAAGACTGATGATTGGCTCCTATCCTCTGTTCTGTACCTTTTGAGGAATTAATTATCCATGCCACGTCATTTCTTTTTTATGACCTGTCTGTTAAGTTTTCCTAAAAAGCTTTGATGAAGGACTTTCAAAACTCTCTTGGAAATCTAACTAGACCATAGCTCTCCATCTTTGTGCTTCTAAACCCTTCAGAGATTTCACTTTACGAAAGCTGTGTTGTCTCTTCTCTAATAAGCCATCCAGGTGTCTGCTAATAAAGTTCTTCATAATGATTTATATTAATTTGTCTGGATGTCAGGCCTGTACCTCTCAAGATGTTCCATGACAAAAAATTTAAACCCTACTGTTGTGCCTCCCACCTTTCAGTGTGCATCAAGGAGATTTACAAATTGTTACTGGTATTTTACTGGTCATTGTGTCGACTTAGTTTTGTAATCTGCATATAGTCCCTTCAGTTTCTTTGAGCCTCCCACAAAGACGAGATCTGGCATGAGGGTCTCTCCAGTTCCTTTCACTGAACACCAGTGGAAAGTGTTAAATTAGCTAGTCCACAGGGGTCTTCTCCGAGTACTCCTTTATACCTTCATACTCCTTTATACCTCCTTTATACCTTCATTACAAGTTGGCTTACAGACTCCTGGCAGACTTTTTGCTCCTCATGTCTTTGAAGGAATATTTATTATTAATTTGCTAGTTGTTCCTCAGGCTAGGTTTTTGGGTCTTATGTTTAATGTGCCAGAAATTAAGATCCTTTCTATTTTCTTCATCTCTACATTTCTTCTGATATCCCCTTTTGTATTCCGTTGTTTATAGTTGTGCAGGTTTTCTATGGCCACTGCCTAAGTCTCAATAAATGGTATGCGCTGGCCTTGTGCTTACCACGTAGTATCTTTGTACTTTCCACAGTACCTGTAGGGATTTATTTTTTGTCCTTTTGATGTGTTTATTTTAAAATGTCCTCGTTTTTAAGTATACTTCCAGATGTGTTGTTCACCAAAGGCAAAATTTTCCTAACTATCATTTCCTATTGTACCTGTCAGAACTTGTGTGCAAACCAGGTAATTAGAAATCTGTACATCAAAAATCTACATAATTGCACAAACAGTACACCAGTTACATATGCACAGTATGGTAGAAAGTTTTAAAAGCTATCGCGTGGTGTTTCAGAAATGTGGCTACGGATTCTGCTAGGCAGTCTGGTGGGTTTTTCCATAACATTGGCAGACTACTCAAGCTGGGGTCCGGGGTGGGGGCGGGTGGGGGAGCTGTGTTTGAAGGACTATATGGAGTACTCGGTCTGTGGAAGAGAAACTCATTACTGATCCTTTTCTCATGATCCTTGAATCTTCTGCTTTTAGGGGCTAAATGTGCGATGTCCATTGAAGTGAACAAAGGTGATTCTTCTTTTACTTGAGAATAAATTGGTCAGTTACTAGAATTTTGATCCTGTCACCCTCACAGTGGAGAAGTGTTTCCTCATGGTCAGGCTGAACCTTCTGTTTTCCCGTTTATGGCCATTGACCCTAGTCCTGTCACTGGACACCACCGAGAAGAGCCTGGCCCCATCCTCCTGACACCCACCCTTCAGATAT